CCAGCACTTGGGAGGCAGAGGCAGGGAGATCTCTGTGAGTTCTGAGGCCAGCGTGGTCTACAGAGTGAGTTCCAGGGCAGCCAGGGCTACACAGAGTAACAAGGTTTCTAAAAACAAAAACAAACAAAGATTATAATGATGATCTCGTGGTTGCTGGGAATCCCACCTAAGGTACTCAGGCTGGTGCACCAAGCACTTTACTGACTGAGTCACCTCCCCAGCTGCTTATCTGTTTCTGTGTCTCAGCCACACGTAATTATCGCCGACACACAGATGGGCCATCACAACCCTTCCCCCCTCCAGATCCACAGTGGTGCTCAACCTGCCTACTGCTGTGACCCTCTGATACAATTTCTCATGCGGTGGTGACCCCCCAACCATAAGATGATTGTGTTGCTACACAATTGTAATCTTGCTACAGTTACGATTCATAATATCAATACACAAGATATCTGTTGCTGGGAGGTGGTGGTGCACACCTTTAATCCCAGCACTTAGGAGGCAGAGACAGGTGGATGTTTGTGAGGTGAGTTCGCAGCCAGCCTGGTCTATAGAGTGAGTTCCAGGACAGGCTCTGAAGCTACACAGAGAAACCCTGTCTTGGAAAAAAAAAACATTCTGCTATGTGACCTCTCAATTGGGGGGGGGTGTCTCAACCCACAAGTTGAGAACTGTTGCTTTAGATGGTACCAGGCAGAGGGCTGTATGGGTGGCTTTCTCTCTTGCTCTGAGGCAGCTCTCTCCTCAGGGCAGTGAGGACAGGTGGGTCTTAGCAGCAGGTGGATGCTGTGTCCCGCCACACAGCAGCCTCAGAAACCCAGTGTCCCAGAAACAACCTTTGTGCAGTCTGAGCCAGCGCCCTTGGGTGCAGGCTGGGAGGAGGGCCCTGGGGCTGACTCCAGGCCCCAGAACTCAGGTCCTCTCTGCCCCCTTCCCTGCTCCCCCGCCTCCACTCTGTAAGCAAGAGCATACTTGACGACCTGCCCCTCCAGGGCCTTGGCTCTCCGTCTAAGTTGTTTCCCAGAAAAGCTAAATGTCACGATCTAGAATACCAACCCAAATTCAGCCCCATGCATGTTTTGGTAGCTCCAGCGAGCTAGGAATGGTTTTTAATACTTCTGAAAAAAATGTATTGAAAGAATAATATTTTGTAACATTTGGGGGAAAAAAAAGCAGGCCTAGAATCCAAATGTTAGTGTCCATAAATAGTTTTGCTGGAATCCAGCCACGCCCACTCATTTGCTTGTTGTATACCTCAGCTCCTGGGCTCCTCACCCTCTGGCCCTTCCTGGAAAACCCAGCTGCTTCTTGCCAGGGAGCCACTTGGGTAGACCAGTTAGGTGCACACAGACCCATGGTGTCAGCTTTCTCCCCCTGGAAATACAAGGCCTGAGAAAACAACGGAGAGGAAAGGTTTATTTTGGCTCCTGGTTTCAGACTGTTTAGTCCTTGTTGAAGGTCAGGGTGCTGGAGAATGGGGGGCAGGGTTTGGGGGAGTTTCCTTCCCTCCAGGCAGAGAGGAAGCAGAGAAAACAGCAACCCAAGGGGCCATCCCCAGAACCCATCTCCTGCAAGCAGGCAAGACACACACACACACACACACACACACACACACACACACACACACACACACACGTTCGCACAGATGCACTCACTCACTTACGCCAGCCCAGCGTTGCTTGTTCAAGTTTTGCATCAAGGTCAGAGCCTTCCTGATGCAATCATCTCTGTATGAACATGCCCTCACCAGCACATCTTCCAGGGTCTCCCAATTCTTTCAAATCGAGTAGGAAAAATAAACAGGATCCCCCACATCACAGGAAGTCACTTCTGAGGGCAGAGTATGGGGAGGGTAAGACTTCAAAATAAGAGTCTTATGAGGAGTGGGGATGGGGGTAAACACAGTATAGCCTCTAACATTGCCTCACCAGATGGAAGGCAGACTACAGGAAGTTGGGAATGGGGACCATTACTGTATTGATTTTAATAACTGCGACATTTGTGTTCATTAGTGAAGGGACCAGACCCTCACCCAGCCCCCTGGCAGCCATGACAGACTGCAGAAAAGGCCCAGCAAGGAAAAGGCCCCTGACTCAGAAACACGTTCTGAGTTCCCTCCCTTGCCGGCCCCCTAGTCACTAGGAGGCCAGGTACCCTCGTGTGGCAAGGAACCAATCAGAAGTTAGCTGGCGGACTCTGAATGTGCTTTGTGATAACAGTGGAGTGCAGAGCATAGCAGCCACCTTGGGAGGGCCTATAGCCATAGCAACCTGCCTGCCGCAGCTGGTCACCCAAGCCCAGAAGTACACCAACCCTGAGGCTGTTGTGGACCCCCAGACACTCTCCTTACTCACCCCAATACATTCCCCACCCCTTGGTCCCTCCACCCGCTGTGTCGGACTGGACAGAGGAAGCGAGTTAATACAATTAAACAATAAAAGACTCTTTGCTTTTGCATCGGATCGGGTCTCTTGGTGATTTGGGGGTTCAGAGTTTGGGCACAGCATTGGTAAGTGCTGTCAGTGTGTCAGTAAAGGGGCCTTGACTCTAAGTGTACAATGACACTTGAGTTCATTCTGCATTATGGCAGTAGCCACGCTGGAGAGAGCTGGGCAGCTCGTCTGCTGTACAACCTCAGGGCATGCTGTTTGTGTCATCGCTGTCCATGTCAATATTGATAAGGTCATTTTTCTATAGCAGGCTTTCCCAGTCCCTGCAAAGGCACAGAGTGGCCTCAGGTGACACTGCTTCTTAGCCTCCATTTTCCCCCCCCTCAGGGATGGAAATGGACCTTGGCACATAGTAGGTGCTTAATGAAGTCAAGCTGAGTGAAAGTGAAACTAAGCCTTTCTCTTGGACTTGAGGGCAGGGTGCTCTCAGTTGAAGGAAATAAACAATCCGCTCACAGCTTGGGCTCATTGTCCCTTCCTTCAAAACAAGTCTTCCCCATGCTGCCACAGGGACTGGGAGCCAGGGCAGCGCATTGATTCATTGAATAGTCATGATCTTTTACTGGCTTCCTTGGTACCTTTCCCTGCTGAGCTTGCTCCTCATTCCCGTGGAATAGACTGTTCTAGAAAGAGTGGATTTTCTATTATCTGCGGCTGCTTCTGTTTCCTGTCACATCCTCTATCTGCTGGGAGCGCTATTATGGATGAGAGGGCTTCGTGGAGGCCCCGGCAGTGGACGCTGAGAGTCGCTTGACCCCCTCTTTCTCCTCCCTAGATGAGTGGACGCAGTCTCTCCTGCAGCGGCCCTCAGCGCTCTGCCGTCTGTGGGGATTCCAGCTGCAGAGGTAGAGGAGGAGAAAGCTGGATGGAGAAGGGAAAGGAAGAGACCTCATCTTGGCCAGGCGCAGGGCCAGAAGCAAGCAGCCCTCAGCCGTGATCATGGGGGATTGGCGGCGGCTTCAGCCCAACAGGTGCAAGGATGTGCCAGGCCACCCACAGAAGCAGGGCGGAGGTGGCTGTGGGGAAAGGTCCTGCCGGGCTTCCTGGGTTGCAGGGCTGGTAGGAAGCCCTGGGCACCACGCTAGGGCTGAATGGCTTCATTCTCTCTGAAAACAAATGCTGGCCTTGTTTGCAGGTTTGTTTGTGTCCTTTGCTTCCCGTAGGCGCTTTCTGTTCTCCTCCCCCAGGCTCAGCCTCGGGCAGGCCACTCTGAGAGCCCAAGCGTCCAGAATTTCTGGAGTTTGCTCCTCAGCTCAAGCCAAGAGCAAAGAGCCCCCTGGGAGCCCAAGGAGGAGAAAAGGGCTCTGCCTTTCCGAGTGCAGACTGGACTGTGCCTCTGCTTCCACAGCGTCTAGGTGTGGCACTGCCGTAGAAACCCATCTGTGCTCCCCGTGAGCAACAGTGAATACTCCATCTCGGTGGAGTGTTCAATAATGACAAGGGACATTAAATAAAAAGGAGGGGGGGGCTCTGTGTGACATGACTGCCGGCCTAATGTCTGTAAATGCAGATGGGTCTGAGTGCCTTTAATCCACCTTCATCAGCTGCACTGACATTCAAGTACTTTCACCTTCCAGTCAGAAGCTAATCCACGGAAAACTTCTCTCTTAGAAGACCTTAGAAAAGGAAAACCCGTCTGGGGAGGAGGGGACAACACTCAGGATGCCTGCTTCAAGGCCAGGCACCCGAGCTGAGCTTCATGGGTAATCCTTGTGTTGTTCCCAAATTCTGAACCCCCCCCCCAATCACCAAGAGACCCATTCTGATGCAAAAGCACAGAGTCTTTTGTTTCTGCTTAACGAGTTAAACCCTTTATCCTTTCATCACAGCAGGTGGAGTAAAAGGACCCCAAGGGGCTGGGAGGGGAGGAGTATGTTGGGTAGAGCAAGGGGAGTGTCTAAGAGGTCTGTAACAGGATTGGTTCACTTCCGGGCTTGGACGGCCCCTTCTGTGTTGATTGGTCAACTGGTTGTTATGGCCTGTAGGTCCACCCAAGGTGTTTGCTATGCTCTGCGCATCACTGTTAGGACACTTTTACCATAAAGCATGTCCGGAGTCCATCAGTTAACTTCTGATTGGTTCCTTGCCACGTTGAGGGTATCTGACCTCCTGGTGACTAGGGCAGCTCCTGCAAGGTCAGGCAAGCACATCTTGCTGGGACTTTTCAGCAGCCTGTCACGGCTGCCAAAGTGGGGAACTACTGGGTGAGGGTCTGGTCTCTCCCCTTGAACCAATTCTACAGAGTGGACATAATTCATTGATTCTGTCACCATCATCTCCAGACCCTTCAAGTTCCAGCTATGCGGGCAGGAAATAAAGTTCAGAGGCACTGAGCTCAGTGCTTTCCCTGCTCCTCTGCTGAATTCGAACCCAGTCCTGCCCCCTGGATCAAGGCTCAGCAGGCTTGTCTCAGTGAATTTCTAATTGGGACTTATTTCTCTGTTATGGAAAACAAAACCATCAGTACTTCCTGTCTACTGGCTCTGCCCCCCGTCCCATCCCCCCAGAAGAGAAAGAAGATTTACTTCTTAAGACACAGGTGGGCCACCACCATGCCTGCCTTCTCATCAGCTAAAGACTATCTCAGGCAGGTGCTGCTGGCATTTTCATTTCAGGGATGGGGCCACTGAGCCTCGGAGCAGTTAGGAAACTTGCCTCGGGCACCACACTGCTGAGAACCTGGAGCTGGCCCAGACTCTGTCCTTCTTGTGACCGCCCTGCACCACAGTAGTTCCCACTGAGCTGAAACACAGGCTGGAGGTAAGGAAGGAGGTTACTGGAGAGAAAAGCCTGGTGTGTGTGTGTGTGTGTGTGTGTGTGTGTGTGTGTGTGTGTGTGGACTCTGAAGGTGGGGGAGGCCGTGTATGTGACAAGAGTGAGACCTAGAGATTGGGGAGGACCAGAAGATGAAGAAGGCATTGCACGCACGCAGAATTTGAGGTGGGGCAAGCCACTGTGCACGGGCAGGGCCTTCAGGGAGGAGAAACCATCCTCAGGTGGGGTAAGCCTTCGCACAGGTGTGTGGCCTGAAGGGGAGGCAGAGTCCTGCAGAGTCCTGGAGGTGGAAGATGAATTTGCTCAAGGGCAGAGTAGTGAGACCCAGAAGATTGTCACACAAGCTCAGAGCTGGGAGCAGAGGTCTGCACAAAGGAGAGAGCTTGGAGGTGGGAGAGGCCATCACACAGGTGAGGGGGCGCATTCCACAGGTACAAAGCCTTAAAGGGGCACCATACAAATGCAGAGCTGGAGGGCAAGGGGCAAGGCTGGGGATGACTTTGCTGGGGTGCTCAGAGCTTAAAGTGGGGGCAGTCAGTGCGGGAGCCGGAGGTTGGGAAAAACATTACACCCCTGAATAAGAAGGGGGTGGGAGATCACCACCACACAGGTGCCCAGCCTAGAAACCGGAGAAGGCCAGTCTTCATGTGTGGAGACCCTGGGGCCTTGAGGGTAGCTATGAGCGATAGGGGTTTCTCTTATTGTGCCCAAATTCTGAACCCCCAAATCACCAAGAGACCCATTCAGATGCAAAAGCAAAGAGTCTTTTATTGTTTGATGAGTTGACAAGACTGGTCCCTTGTCTGTCCTATGCATGGGTTGATGCCACAAGGATCCAAAGGGGCTGGGAGGCAGGCAGTTTATTGGGGAGTGCAAGGAAGTGTTTGGGGGGTACGCAACAGTCTCAGGATTGGTGTACTTTTGGGCTTGGAAGACTTGTCCTGTGTTGATTGGTTAGCTGGTTGCTATGGCCTATAGGCCCTCCCTGGGCAGTTGCTATGCTCTGTAAGCCACTGTTACACCATTGTTACCGGAAAGCAGTCAAGAGCCCGTCAGCTGACTTCTGATTGGTTCCTTGCCATGTGAAGGGTGTCTGACCTCCTGGTGACTAGGGCAGGTCTGGCAAGATCAGGCATGTGCTGAGTCAGGGGCCTACATCTTGCTGGGCCTTTTCTGCAGCTGGTCATGGCTGCCAAAGCAGGGGGTGGGTGAGGGTCTGGTCCCTTCACTCTCCTGCAGAAGGTGGTGGAAACCAAGCTGGTTGCAAGGCATTCAGGGAGTCTGGTGCACATGGATGGCTTGCAGACACTGAGGGCATTTGAGAAGGTCCTAGTGCCAGTTTCTCAAACAGCCGTGCCACAGCCTCTACCACAGCCACAACACTGGCATCTCTGCATGACTCAGAAGCCACACATCCTTCTGCAGGCACGTGCGGGCTCTTGATGTGAGTCCGCTGCGACAGTGAACACTGGGAACTCTCCCATCTCCTGGGCTCTTTCTCCTGTTTTCCATGGGGCCCCACCCACGATCTCCCATCAGCTTCCTCCCAGGGGCCCCTCCCCACCTCTTCTCCGTCTCCCTCGTATAGTGGTGGAGTCGTGGGCTCTTACTCCACTAGAGTGTGTGAGACAAGACAGTCCTAGACAAAGGCCAAGCTTCCCAGTCATAGTCTGGGGCTCCCCACACTGAGCAATGTGGATGCGGCCCAGCTGGGAATGGTCTTCAGCTGGGGGGTAGAATTACTCGAAGAGTAGTCTGCTGGAGTGGGGGAGGGGAGGATGCAGAGAGCATGGGCGAGCAAGGGACTCCACCTTAGCTTGGGAGTGAAGCCAGTCTACAGAGGTCAAGGGCGGTGTGATGATTTACACACAGTTGTCAACTTGATGAATCGGGAGTCACCTGGGGCTGTCCTCTGGAGGGAACGTGGCCACACAAAGGTCAACTTTCCCCGTGGAACTTCAGGAATGAGGATAGACACAGCGGTGTTAGTGTACATTATCATATTTGCTCTCAGTACTTTACACCGATCAACTCACAGGTGACATGACTGCCATCCTCATTCTCGTTTGTAGAAGAGGAAGCCATGGCTCTTAAAGGTGAAATAATTGTTGAAAGACCACACAGCTCTGTTAGGTGGGAAGCTGGGGCTTGATTCTCCCCATCGCCTGGTTCCTTTCTTAGGGTTCTTTTTTTTTTTTTTTTTTTTTTTTTTTTGGTTTTTTGAGACAGGGTTTCTCTGTGGCTTTGGAGCCTGTCCTGGAACTCACTCTGTAGACCAGGCTGGTCTCGAACTCACAGAGATCCACCTGCCTCTGCCCCCCCCCAAGTGCTGGGATTAAAGGCATGCACCACCAATGCCCAGTTCTTTCTTAGGTTTCTAGTAGAGAGAAATAGACCCATAGCTGGATTCATGGGGCACAAATTGGTTTATAGTATGGGACTGGATCTCCACTGAAGGGAAGTTCCTGCTCTGTGAGAAATGCCTGTGTCTCAAGGACAAATGCATTTCTGCTAAGACAGAGGGACTGAGCTGTTCCAGGACAGGCTCCAAAAACAATACAGAGAAACCCTGTCTCAACAAACAAACAACAAAACAAAACACAAAGGGATCGAGCATGGATCTCACATTGGCTCAAGACAGTGGAATGCAATATGTCTGTCTGCCTGAATTAGAGTAGTTCCAGGGAAAAAAACCCCAGCCTGCAGCTCTTTCACACAGCTGGAGCAGGCTGGATGTCAACTGCATAGTACCCTAGGTTCCCACCAGGGCTTCCTCAAAAATTCGCACTGAGGAAAACCTGGGAGGACCCTTCTGCTTGTGTGAGACCCAGCTTTGTTCTTCTTCCCCTTGTGATTTCAGACTCCGGTTAAGAAAGGAGGGAGAAAAGTTCATTGTATATTTTTCACTTCCTCTGCGTTTGTCTGAATATGTGAGTTTGAAAAAAAATCAACAAAAGGAAATGAAAGGAGCAAGGGAGGGAGGGGAGGAAGGGAGGGAGGGGAGGAAGGGCTGACATTGCTGGTGAGCTGCCCCTTGAGATGAATCAGGATCAAATATTCTAGATCAGACGTTCAACTGATCAGAAAGTTCTAGAAGGCACAGTCTTGGTATCCCTTCTCTCTTCCTGTTGTTTTAGCCCCTCCCAGTATAGAACAGAGGCCAGGACACATCAGGATTCCAGTGTTGTCAAGCCCCCTGGGAAACCTAGGGCAACCCACAGTGTGGATATCTTTCTTGGGGGGGGGGGGTGACTGATGCCCCTCCCGGAGGGACTGGTGACTGTGTGGCTGTACCAAAGACAGAATGGGGCATCATATTGCACGATACAGGAACAAGCTTGGCTCAAGATGTGCATTAAAAACTTGATTCTTTTTGTTTTGGTTTTTTCTTCATTTTTATACGTCTTCCTTGAGTGGACTTTTAAAACTGTAAAGCAGCCGGGCGTTGGTGGTGCAGGCCTTTAATCCCAACACTCGGGAGGCAGAGGCAGGTGGATCTCTGTGAGTTCAAGGCCAGCCTGGTCTACAGAGCGAGTTCCAGGACAGCCTCCAAAACAATACAGAGAAACCCTGTCTCGAAAAACCAAAAACCAAAAACAAAACTGTAAAGCAACATCTTCTGCTCATGGCTAGGAGCTGGTTTAGGTATGAAATGTACCCCAAAGGCTCGTGTGTTAGAATGTGGCCCCCAGGTGGTGGTGGTGTTTGAGACTTCCAAGAGGCAGAGCCTTGATGAAGGAAGGGCACCGTTGGGGGGTGGCTCTGAGTCTGTAGAGCTGGCTCTTGTTTCTGTTCTCTCTCTCTGCTCAGCATGGGGATTGAATGTGCTCACTCTGTTTCCTGACAGCCAGGCCAGCCTCATACTCTCTACCACACCTTCCCTGCTGTGAATGCCTAAGTTCCCCCTGCAAACCATAGTAGACCCGTTCTCCTCTAAACTGCCCTTTTCCTGGAGTAGTCTATCACAGCAACAGAAAAGTGACTAATACACCAATCAATCGGAAACCTATCTGTGTTTAAAGTTAATCTTCCAGGGTGGGGGGGGACCTACTGCTTGGCCTCTTAACACCCCTGCCTGCCAGTAAACCCTTGTATTATTTGGCCTGTCAAATTCTATGTCATGGACTATGAGATGAACCAATATAGTTATTGTGGCCAACCTGAACTGCAATTAGATATTATGGTGGCACTTTTGGGATAGCTCCCCTAAAGGGTACATAACAGCTTCTTCCATGCTCCACCCAACCAAGAGTTTCCGTATAGCACCACCCACCATCTTACACCATTGGGTGTTCGTAAGACTTGCATCAGTCACTTTCCTCACTGCTATTTCAAACTTCCTGACAAAGGCAGCTTAAGGAAAGCGAGGCGTACTTTGGCTCACCGTCTGAGGGTGTTTTCCACGGCTGGGAAGGCATCTCGGAAGGAGTGTGAGGCGGCTGGTCACTTTGCTTCTGCTGGTACTCAGTTCACTGTGCATTAGGATGGGTTTCTATACCTCATTTACCCCAATTAGAGACCCCTCACAGACATGCCCAGAGGTATGTCACCAAGGTGATTCTACAGCTCATCAAGTGGACAACTGATTTTAACCTTCAAAAATACTAGCCAAGGATGGTGGACGGGAAGTGACAGACGGGATCCGAGTTAGTAATCAACAGAGACTCAGCCACATTAATTCCATCTATTCTGACACAGAACCCAGTGTCTGATAAGCTTGAGGTTTCCGGGGCTTCTGTTGAATGAACCTGGATCTGATTATAACGGATGGGTTTTCCCTTTGACCCTCTGTTCGGCCCTCTGTCATCGGTGACTGTCTCTTCAAATGCTGCCAGCAAAGATCTTTGTGGGTCCATGAAAACAAAATGATGTCATGCCTTGCAATTGCTTAGTAACACTCTATTAAAATAAAAAAAAATCATGGATCTGCTACCTACACATCCTTTTATCAGTAGACTATGAAATGTAATGGGGAATGGCTGCACCGTCATAAACAAACGGGGGAATTTCCAGTTGCTTTTCAACTAATGTAGGAAAGACATCTGCTACAATGGCCTGCACACTTTCATAGACCTCTGGGGGCGGGGGTGTGTGTGTGGGGGGGGGGATGGCTAGTTCCTGACCCTTTCCAGCTCCTGCCTTTCAAAGACAACAGAGGAAGACCCTGGCAGCAATGGCCCCACATTCCTCCCGAGTGGTAGCCAAGCTCTGCATCCCTGCTTCCTATGTTTGACAGGATATGTGTTGAAAGAATATTCAAAATAATCCCTATAGGAAAAGTGCTCCCAAGTCTCTGCTTGGGTGTGCTTGGGGGCAGGGACACCACCCTACTTTTCGTCTAATCGTTGGAGAGCAGAGTGCACCAGATTCTAATCTTAAAAAACTCCCACCTGCTGGGCTCAGTTCAGAGTTCCGGGTCCTTGAACACTGTCCGTCTCCTCCCATGCCAGGTGGGTTCCACCAACGGTGGACCTGGTGGCAGTGACACCAGGGACTGTGTCTCTCTGTGGGACTTCACTTGTGGATGTTTCCAGGCCTTGGTCTCCTCGTGGTCCCCAGGGTACAGACATGGGCTCTGACCTCAGTGTTGCTCCTACTCAAGACTTGGGAGGGAGCGTTGCCAGAGTGAGTGTCATCCTCTGGCTTTCACTCTTGGGGTAACATGAAATCCCATAGCATTGATTTCTTTCCCTCCCCCCTCTCTGGAAAAGTGGGCAAAAGGAGCACAAGCCCTGGGTCTTTCTCCTTCCAACATGCCAAGGCGGCTGGCTTGATTTGGTTACGGCCAGGATGGAACTCTCATAAAACACTGCTGTCAATTGTGATGGAAGAAGCATTTTAAAAGGAGGGGTGGTTTGTTTGGGGTCACAGCTTGAGGAAAAGCAGGCCGGGAAGTACAGTGGTGAGACATGACAGGGGGACACATGGCCGCTAGCTCACACTTAGTGCTTCAGGAAGCAGAGGTGGGACATGGGACCAGAAGTGAGGCTGGACTATAGACGTAAAAGCTTCCCAAGCCTGCGACCCTTACCTCAGAAGGGTTCCAGAACTTCCCAGAGCAGGGTCATAAGCTGGGGAGCAGATGTCCAATTATACAAGCTTATGACGGGTGTTTTATGCTCACACTGATGAGCTATCCGGGAGCAGAATAACGAGAGAAGTCTGTAGAAATAATAGTGCATAGAAATAACAGCTCAAGAAACAGAAGGGGCAGGCAGCACTCAACCCAGGACCCCTACCTCAAGCTCCAGGAGACCACACAGCACTGCTCCCTGTGCTTTCCTAGACTTATAGTCAGAGAAAAGGGAGAACATCACTGATGTAAGTGGTGTTTTCAAGAGGGAAAATTAAAGATAGCAAACCGGGCAAATGGCTCTCCACCTGTGCTGGGCCCGGTGGAGGTGGTCAGCAGCTGTTGGATTTCCCCCCTCCTGCATTTCCACCTGTGCTGTGGACCGGTGAGCAACTTTCTGCCTGCTCTCACTGAGTGGTGCCCTGGTAAATGAGGCCCAAATAGGCTCCCTTGTTCCTTCCATCGTGTGGAATGGAGCAGGGGGATATACAGCTCTGTTGGCCCCTTGTATTTGGATCTCTGAGCTCCCAGAATAAATAGTGAGTGATACAGTTTTTATTGCTCATAAACTACCCAGTTTCAGGTATTTTATTAACAGCAGATGCTTAGACTAGGACAGTTTCCAGGGATCCACAGGTTCCTACAAGGTCATCAAGCCAACTAGGCTACCAACTTGGCACCCAGCTTCTATCTGGCTGACTATACTTGGTGTAAGACGAGAGGCATTTGAGTAAATATCATGGACATGGGAGAAGGAGTCTTGAAATCCTATATGGCTTTCACTTCTAGCCACCAGGGTGACCTGGGTAAGTTGGGGAACTTTATTGATCTTCAAGGGTCTGCTTTGTAAACCATGGGTACTAACGCATACTCACCTGAATGTTTTAACAGATCACTTCCCAAGACTGTCCAGGGGTGGGATAGAATATTCTGGAAGGTCATCAAGGTTAAGGGATCACAGGGGCTTGATCTTTCGCCTGCTTCAAGGCTAGGCATCACTCTTCACGGGTAATCCTTGTGTTGTGCCCAAATTCTCAGGCACACTTAACTGCTACTAATTAGCACCAATTTATGTAGAAGTGTCACTGAATCACAAAGTCTGCAGAAACAGCAAGTGAACTAAATAGTGTAAGTACACAAAGACCCTGGCATGGAATAAGCCTTCAACTAAGATTAGCCATGATGAATATGCAAATAATTATGCTTTCCAATGTGTTAACACCAGCATCTTTCTGTAGGGCTGATCTTCCACTGCTGTAGAAGCCCTTCTGCTACAGGCATCTCAAAGTCACCTGAGTCAATCCGAGGCCACTCCCACTCACCTCACTGGACAGATACCTCGAATGGGGTCAGGTTGACAATCATTGACCATGGAATGTTCTAGGGCAGGCCATGGCCTTAGATGCTTGTCGGTAAAGAGACCAAGGCTGTGGAAAGCAAAGGTTGGACTGCTGTGTACCGGGTGGAATGAAGGCAGATTGTCCCCTCCCCACATGAAGACAAGCCATTCAGCGAGCCTCATTTCAGTCTCTTGGTGATGATGGCCCTAGCCACCACCAGTATTGCAACTCCCACAATTTTGTCTAATAGTCCTTCCTACCTCAGTCAGGCCAGTCTAGACATTACCCCACAGATAGGACCAGAGGTTTCTCTCCAAGAGGATTCTAGATGCTGTCAAGTTCACAACCAGGTAACTGTCACACCTAGAACGTGTCGTTCATAGACAGAGCGGGGAGGAAGGCATGTTGCTTCTTGCCACTGGCCTCCAACACTATGCTTTAGTCACAATTTTTCTACCAATGTCACCAAGAAGCTTCTCATACTCATATGGGGGGAGTATAAGGACCCATCTTTCAATAGAAGGAGGATCAAAGTATTTGGGATCATATGTTGAAGTCACCATCGCAAGTTAGCTATTCTTGCTATGGAGATGCAGCCTCTTCATCTATAAGAGAGTAGTAACACCTGCCCCCAGGGACCAGGAGGGGAATAACCTGCTCAAAAAGAGCAGGAGAGAGAACTTAGTGGGTGCTGTCCTCTGCCTGCCCCTGGGTAGGGGTGACCTTTCTCTCCTGTGCCTGCAGTGGTCCATGCATTCACACAGTACAGGTGGAGCGCCGCTGCGAGGTCTCCCGAGCCTGACATGTTTGTGAAGATGCTCACAGCCATAATGTAGTAACTAATTGCAATCCAAGGGAGTGGGTAGTTCTGTGTCGAGGGGTGGGGAGTGTTCTGTCCCCCCCCCCGGCACAGCACTTGTTCCCATATGGGAACACGTAAATACAGCTCATCGCTCACTCCGCGTGCCAGCTCTGATGACTGACATGTGCTGGAGGATGCTGCAGGCTTTAAATGACTTCCATTACTGCATGTCGGCAGCATTTTATAGTTTTGTAACACAGTGTTGTGATTTGGACATGCACCCCCCTCCTAATTCACATGTTGGGCATTTTTTCCTCAGGGCAGTGGTGCTGAGGCGGGGGCTCCTAAATGGGGCTGTCTTGATGGCCCAGTCCTTGTGAATGGATCGATGCTGGTGGCACTGCTGAGTTTGTTAGGAAGATGATTTGGGCTCCCTTCCGTACCCTTCTGCCTCCCACTGTGGACTGACTCACCAACAGGGTCTTAGCCAAGGCCAGCTCCTTGACCTGGGACTTCCCAGTGTCCAGAACGATGAGAAATGATGGACTTTTATAAACGTAGCCTTTCCTCCCACCATGGTTTGGCAGCGCAAGAGAAGTAATCAGACTGGAGTGGATGGTGAGGTGTGTGTTTATTAATGCGCTCCCTGAAGACAGATGCCAGCATAGCGTCTGTTTGTGAGCAGCCCTGCCCACTCACCCCTGCTGTGATGATCAGGCATCCGCATGATGCAAGGGCTTGGCAGAAAACCATTCTCTGTCAGCGTGCCCCAGCCTTTTGACGTCATGCCACGATGTCATCTGCACAGCTCATGCTCAAGAATAATGTGGCTGAGTTACCAAAGGAAAAGAGGAGCTCACAAACAAATCTTGTAATGTAATTTGTTTTTAAGTAATATATTTTGTATTGAACCTCACTCAAAGCTGTTCTGGGACTCAAGCAGCCCACAGGATATAGGATGGATTTGCCTGAGGCTAGTGAGTGTTCACCAAGAGGTAACTGCTGCAACTGTTGGAGGTGGTTGCGGGGTGGGGGGATGGGGGGGAGACAAGGGGGTGGGGGAGTCTGGCCTCCATTTCCTCAAGGCCTCAAGGATACAAAGCCCAGGAGAGTGGAGTCAGGGAGGGAGAAAGGGGAATGGAAAAATGAGAGCTAGATGGAATGCAGAGATACATCAAACAGGGGATAAAAGTAACGGAGATCCAGGCTGGGCTAAGTGAGTAACGTGCTTTTCCTATAAGGGTGAGGACCAGAGTGTGTGTGTGTGTGTGTGTGTGTGTGTGTGTGTGTGTCTGAGAGAGAGAGAGAGAGAGAGAGAGAGAGAGAGAGAGAGAGTAGAACAACCTTGGCTGTTGTTTCTCAGACTCTGTTCACCTTGTTTTTAAAAGACAGGCTCTCCTACTGGCCTAGAGTTCGCCAAGTAGGCTGGGCTGGATTCCTGCCCATTGAGCCCTTGGGATCCATCTGTCTCCACCTCCTTGGTGCTGGGACTACAGGCACAGGACATTACATCTATGCTCTGTTTGTTCATTTGATTCTTAAGATTAAAGTCAGGACTTCATGCTATCAAGGGAAAGCCATCTCCCTAGCCTCTCTCCAACCTTTTGTGCCCTTTTATGACATGTGGTTGGCAAACAACAACAAAAATCGACAAGTTGGGTCAAGTAAGTCTTTTTGATTCCAAATCATACTCTGCATCCAGGCAGAGTCCTGGCTATGTTCCCCCTCTACCCCTCCTGAAATTGTCCAATCTGATTTAATATTTCCCCACCCAGGCAGCTTCCCCTCCCTCCCCACTCCGTCTTTTCCCCTCTCCAGGCCCTCCGTCATATTTGAACCTTCCCCTCATATCTTATCGACATGTTCCTATTTATACTTGTGTGTCTATGGATTTCTCTCTGCTACAGATCCAGGACTTTGCCTCATTGACTTAAGCATTCTGTATATGTACTGAGGATAAGTATTGACATTACGTTTGAGAGGCAGTGGGGCGGGGCGGGAATTCAGGAAATTCAGTCCTCCGTAGGAGGACCCAACTACGAAAGAGACTTGACATTGGGTTAGTAGCTCTTCCGTACACATAGTAGGTATACAGTAGGCACATAGTGGTGGTGACACCGGCACCCTTCCCCTTTGAAGTGTAGCTCTGTGTCAACCCACGGGAGTTGCTGAGGTCAGAAGTGTCCCTGTCCCTTGTGCGGGATGACTTGTGGCGGAAGGCACTCAGTGTGTATGGAGGGTCACGCACAGTTCTAGAGGCCGGGTCTGGTAAGTGATGAGAAAAGACAGGGAGAGGCAGCAGAGGAAGAGGTCACTGCACCCCACAGGGCCCTAGACACATGACAGAAACTGGCTTGGGCCACGGTATCTGAGAGTTGAAGCATGTTTTTATTTTTTATACTTTATTATATTTTTTATATTTTAAACTGTGTGTGTGCGCATTGAATGCAAGCTCCTGTGTAGGCCAGAGGTGTCAGATCTCCTAGGAGCTACAGCTGGCTGTGCGCCACCTAACACGGGCGCTTGGGAACCGAGATGAGCCTTCTGGGAGGTCGGGACTCACTCTTAATCACTGTGCAGTCCCTCCAGCCTCCGATGGTTTTAGGTATGTATATTCCACTCGCTGCTCGATCTTCTCAATTGCTAGTCTTCCACAGAAGCAAGCCATGGGGGTCATTTGTCAAATTGCGGGTCTTGATCGCGTATGAAGATGCAGGCCCTGGAATATTCCACAGAGGCTGCCGCTGTGTATCAGCGGTCCTCACTGTCATGTTTTGAAAGACTGACAGTATAGTGGCCATCTGTACGGACTGCTCAGGCAGTCCATGGTGTCTGTCCCTGTCTTGGTAGTCTATGTAACCTTGGTAGCCTATCCTGGCTGTGAGTTTTGTCTTGGGATATCAAGCCCATGATTTATGCACAGAACTTTTGGGTCCAGGGGAATGAAAGGGTGCCATAGTCTTCACCCATCTCTCACCTCTGTGTCCCAGAATGGTGAGCCCAAATCCCCTCCATTCCTACAGGAGCCCCCACCCTCCAGGCTGTAGAGTCTCTGGGGGCCTTTATAGTGAATTTAGAAACTGAAGTCGGGAGTGTGGCTGCTGTAAGATGAGCCCCTCAGGCCTTTCCCTGTCCCTCTTTGTCTGCATCCATTCTCCAGGCTCCGCCCACGCCTTCCTCTAATCTAACCCCAAACTTCATCCTGCTACACCGAGTCCCAGCTCTCTGGAAAACCATCATTCCTTGTCCCCAGTGGGCTCTCTGTCCTCACACTCGCCATGGCTTCATGCCAGCAGTCATGGAAGGAGATTTGCTGAGGGTTCAGAGCAGCCCAAGGGTCAACATAGGTAAACTGAGTCTGGCAGAGGCGGAGTGACGTGCCCGGGGCCAGGTAGACTGAGCATACCACCCCATCTGGCCCCGCACAGTGAACAGGACTGTCTCCTCTGCCACCAGAGTATGTGGTGCTCAGAGTCTATGCCCATCCCCAGTGACCTGAAATGTAGACTGTAACTCCTAGGCTCCCGGGCCCTGGGACTCAGGGATGGATGAAGTACGAAGATAATGACTATGGTCAGGGAGGAGAAGCTGCTGAGCAAAACGGTTCAGAGGTCACACTCTGAGTCACACTGACACAGTCCAGTCCCTGTCATGTGACATCACTGCTCTACGCTTGAGCAGGTAGCATAGCCCTCCTGATCCTAGTTACAAGTTCCAAACTGCAACAGCCACAGTCCCTAGCTCCTCTCCCCCAGGGACTGTGACGAGATCAAAAGAGTTATAATCAAGAGGGAGACCCCATGGCTATCTGTGTGCTGGAGGGTTAGCATCCAATCTAAATTCCATCCCCTATCCAGCAGTATAAAGCTGGGGTTGCTCAATGGAGGGAAGCAAGGGACTGTCAGTCAAAATGGATTTTAAATGTCATCCAAAGTCTAACATTGTGACAATTCTCAGTGGTTTTTTTGTTTTCATTTTTTTGTTTGTTTGTTTGTTTTGCTTTTTTGGGGCAGGGTTTCTTTGTAGCTTTGGAGGCTGTCCTGGAACTCACTCAATAGACTAGGTAGGTCTCGAACTCACAGAGATCCACCTGTCTCTGCCTCCCAAGTGCTGGGATTAAAGGCCTGTGCCACGACTGCCCGGCAAGAATGCTCAGTGTTTTTAGTCACTCATCAATACCCAGGGAGGTTTACACTAATCAATAACAGATAACCCACAGATGCTGTCGCCAGCAGTGGAGACACCAGAATTCTTCGGCAAAGATTTTAGAACAACAATGGTAAAAAAAAATTAAAAAGCTTTACCAGGACTTCCAAGATGGCTCAGTGGATAAACGCTTGCCGTGCAACGGTGGGGAACTGGGTTCAGAGCCTCAGAATTCATGTAGAGCTGGGCTTGGTAGCATGTCTGCAATCCCATCATTCCCGCACACACTCTCAGAGCATCCTGTCCCAAACAAGGTGGAAGGCAAGGACCCACGACCGAGCTTTTCTCTGATCTCTACGTCACAGCGCTCGTGTGTGCTGCATACACATCCTTACTCCCACTCGCTAACGTGCACACAGACGTCACACATACACGAAGACAGAATTTACAACCACACGCTAACGTGCACACATACACACGAAGACAGAGTTTACTCCCACACACAACGTGCACACAGACATCACACATACACACGAACACAGAGTTTACTCCCACACGCTAACGTGCATACAGACATGCACACATACACACAAAGACAGTTTACTCCCACACGCTAACGTGCACACAGACGTCACACATACACACAAACACAGATGTTACACATACACATGAAGACAAGTTTACTCCCACACGCTTATGTGCACACTGACGTGCACACATACACACGAAGACAGAGTTTACTCCCACACGCTAACGTGCACACAGACACACGAAGACAGAGTTTACTCCCACACGCTAACATGCACACAGACACACGAAGACAGAGGTTTTTTTTTTAACAAGCTCTTTTCTGACTTAGTCATCCTCCCAGCTCAGGGATATAATGTTAACCTCCGGGTAAGTCTCGCTTACTTTCTACAGTATCCCAAAGGGTCTGGAAACCTGAGAACCAAATGACCATCTCTGCATCCTGAAGATCCAGACCCAGGCCTGGCTGCAGGGATTGCTTGGGTATTAATGGAATCTGGTTGCCTGTGAGGCCATAATTCACAGATAAATAACATGAAGTACAGCCGGGCATTGGTGGCACACGCCTTTAATCCCAGCACTTGGGAAGCAGAGGCAGGTGGATTTCTGTGAGTTCGAGGCCAGCCTGGTCTACAGAGCGAGTGCTAGTATAACCTCCAAAGCAATACAGAGAAACCCTGTCTTGAAAAACAAACAAACAAAAAAGAACATGAAGTAGAAAGCCCCTCCTCCTGTGTCAACTTGCAAGGGGACACAGTGCCATTTCCTGGTGTGGGGACACGGTTTCTAGTTCAAGCTGGCTGATCATGGGGTCACTAGAAGGTCTTATCTAACAGGGTCCCCTCCTCTCAGGGATGCCAGCCCACAGGGAACAATTTGGAAGGTACCACCTGCAGGTGTGGCTGAACTATCATAGAACCTCAAATCTGAATCCCATTTTTCATCCGGGAAAACTGAGGCACCAAGGGGAAGGGACTTAGCTCAGGGCCAGTGTGGTGGGAGTCAGAATGAACCTAGATCTTTGGGTTAAATCTTCTCACCATGAAGTAAATGTGTTACAGGTTGGACCGAGATTCCCAGTTTCTGGGACCCATCCTGCCCAAGATAGAGTAAGGACGTCAAGCTGTCGCTACCTTGTATTCATTCAGAAAATAGTTTCTGAGCTCCATATTTCTATTAAGGCTCATGGCGTGTGTTGTTTTTGTGGAACTGCTCCAAACCACAGTGGCCTGAGCCCATAAACACTGGACATGGTCCATGAGTGCATGGGTCAGTGGGTGGTTGTGAACATCGAGTCAAGCTTGGCTGATCTTTGAGTTTTCTGTTACATCAGGAGAAGTCATGGGAGTCTTATTTGCTGGGAATAGGCTGTGCCGGACTCTGTTACTCCATAAAAGAGTGGATTTTCAGCATGTGGCTTGCCCTGGGGGATGCTGAGAAGCAGCTTTTGACTCCATTTTGAAAAAGGAGGAAGACTGGAGACCCAGGGGGAGAGACCCAAACATCACCTCCTGCCCAGCGCTGCGCAGGCTGTGCAGACTGAGAGTAGAAAGAGCCCCTCTGTAAACCTACCAAAGTAAACTAAAAGGACACACGGGCATATTAACATCGTAACAGGGAAACCGGGGCTGAACTTATCAGACACACCCGACCAGAGGAAGTGTGGAACTCCCTTGCCTGAGCCCCAGTAAGTGGCAGATACCTAACAACCCGGTGACAGCACTGTGCCCCTGACCTGATACCTGGTGTGCATCAAGGACTACCAAACAAAGAACACCTGTCTGTCCCTGGAGCTCGGATTCTGCTATTGACTCAACCTACCTGAATGCCCGCTTTCTACCATTATCTTTTCCAGGCCTCAGTACAGCTCTCTCTCCATGCTAGTCTCATCATTAGAGATTCTGGTAACATTTTTATCACGGCTTCTGAGGCTTTTTTGAATTCTGCCACAGATTTTTAAACTTTGTATTTATTTTGTAAATCACAAGTATGCACATAGCTACACACACACATATATATAGTTAGATATACGTATGTAGATGAGAGATTTGTTGTGTGACATGTGCTGTATGAGAGTTAATATATGTATATTGATGAGAGATTTGTTGTGTGACATGTGCTATATGAGAGTTAATATATGTATATGGATGAGAGATTTGTTGTGTGACATGTGCTATATGAGAGTTAATATATGTATATGGATGAGAGATTTATTGTGTGATATGAGCTATATGATATGAGAGTTGATATTGGTAATTAAGATTGGAATCAAAGGATTGGCATTCCTCTAGGCCAGATTGATGTGTCTTTTGTGTACATGTTGTCTTATTGGTTGATAAATAAAGCACTGTTGGCCAGTAGGGAAGCAAGATAGGTGGGACTAGGAGTCGATGAGGATTCTGGGATATGTGGCCTAGAGTAGAGGGTTGCCATATGATCCCTGGAGGAAAGGACATGTCAGGAGGGCGTCCCTTGGAAAGATACATCCTTATAAAAATATATATTAGTAATTATGAGTTAATAATTAAGTCAGAGCTAGCTTTAAGAAACCATAGCAACAGCCAACAGCTTCATAATTAATATAGTGTCTTGTGTGTTATTTGGGGGCAGAGACAGAGGCAGGACCTAGGCGACTGGAGGAAAGAATGCACGTTACACCAGATTACCAATGGAGGTAGTCTCATCTAACAAATTGCTGCCATTGAAATATCAGCACCTTGTGAATTTACCATTATTCAATCAATACTGTCACTGTGGAAAGACACAGCCATGCTCGTTTATGTTTCTGACTAAATGTGCTCATGCCATTCAGGCAGTAGAGGTGTCAGGGTGACTGAAGCACCTATCCATCTTTCTCTGGTAGACCAGTAGTCCAGGTTTCACATTGGACCAGGCCCTAAGGGAACAAGTGGGTACTGAACAGCTCCCGGCCTCAGAGTCCTCTGTTTCCAACTTTACAGTTTCACTCTGCAGATTCCCCTGGCCCCACAAGTGGCAGGACCTGCCAAGTCTCCAGGCATGGGGAGCACATTCGGTCTCTTCACGGTCAACTATAAAACTGCACCACTGAGGGACCTGGATGCAGGGTTGTTAAGAGAAGCTTTTTCCTTGAGTGAAGCCGTCCCGCCAGCCTGGTTCCAGAGCCACATTAGTCCCAAATAAACACACAGGAGGCTATATTAATTATGAAGCTGTTGGCCTTGCTTGTCTCTTACTGGCTAGCTCTGCTTTAAGTAATTACCCCATAATTGTTAATCTAAGTATGTTTCTTACCGGAGAATAGTTCCCGGCGTCCTACCCCCCCATGGCGTCACATGTTGACTCTCTTGTGTTTCCCCTTCCCAGAATCCTCCTCGACTCCTAGTCCCTCCTATCTAGGTTTTCTATTGGCCAGACAGTACTTTATTGACAAATGCACAGGCAAATAACAGGACTTCCCCAACACAGGGTGACTGACAACTGTGGTTATTTTTGCTCTTGACCCTAGAGCTGCTTCTAAAGGCTTTGCTTCTGTTTCTTTCTGGTTCTCCAAGGCTGTGAGAAACGCTCTAGATGACACCTGACACTTTTGGGTGAGACCCGACTGTGACTCTCCCCAATTCCTTCTGTTGTCTGTGGAGAACAAAACCACAAGGCCTGAGACCCCGAGTGACTATGACAGTCAAATTCTGTGCCTCCCACCGCGTCCCTCACTTATACAGGTTGTACATGTAGCACTGGAAAACGTAAATGAAAAGCTATTTTCTTCTGGTCAAAAAAAAAAGGGGAGTCTGTCTTTGGTTTTTGGTGAATGTGTAAGATTCCAAGCTATGCAAATGTAAGAGGCTATGCAGCCAGACCTGTCAATCATCTGCCTGGGGAAGGCGGATTTAACTAACACCATGCCAATGAGACACGAAGAATAATTATGCTTTTAATGAGATGATAGACTTTTCCTTCCCATAAGCCCTGCTTTGGTGCCATTGCTATGGAGCGGTCACGAGGCCCGGCGGGGTCTGCTTACCTATCTGAGTCCCAACTTGGAAAGACCTAACCTTCCTTTGTCTTCTTTGCCATCTCTTTCTTTCGTTTCTTGGCCAGAACCTGAATATGCTTTCTCTGGGATTTGTTTTCAGTGTTTATCTGAGGCCATGGGGCTGCTTACCAAACCTCAATGCCTAAGTTAGACACGGCTTGCTGGCTTCCTCTTCCCTGCCTTCCTCCTCTGGGCGGCTTCTGGGGGCGGGCAGCTTCCCTGCCCTGTTGTTTTTCTGTTTAAATTCTAATAAAATTGTACCTGAGCCTTTCCTGAGTTCATTCTTAAAGACGGAGAACTCTGACAGGAGACCCCGGTTTCCCAGTGAGATGCGATAACCCCAAATTTCTGGTAACAACACGATAGAAATCCTTTGCTGTTTCACGTCTGAGATCTGAGGGTGCTTGTCACAGCCACATAACTTATTGTGCCCTGACTGATACAAACCCAACCCTGTGCCACACACCACTCACTCACTGGCTGTGGAGGTTAAAAAAAAAAGAAAAAGGGAAATCCTTGCTTCTTCCTGCTCGCATCCTCATGAAGGCAAAAATGCAATAGCCAGTCAGTGAGCAAACTAACAGGTGCCCAAACTGCAATCGATACAGCGAGGGACACAATAGGGCTTGGATGACTGTGCAACTTTCTCACTGGTACAAGGCCAAGTTTCTGGAGGAAGCATTTATACCAAGACGGGAAGGTAGAAGGAAGGTCTCGACTGTGTGGTAATAAGAACAGCATTCCGGGGAGGGATTGGCACGAGAATGGGCAAGGCCTGGCTCACCAGAGGAAATGCAGGGAGGCCAATGTGGCAGGAAGAAGTGGGGGATGATCCTCCCAGGATGAGGATATGGGCGGGGAGGATGTCAGACCACCCAGCAGTGAGGGGTATTTGGGCTTATTGAGGCATCCTGGGGGGGGGGTGTCTCCACAGCCTACCAGCATGGGGCCCAAGAAACTGCATATATCTTCAGAGGGGACAGGGAAGGTAACATTTTGTGCCCTTGGCATAAACACAGATTCTAAGACTTGTTCTTGGCATTAGGGGACCTCAGAAAGGGAAGTGTGCCTTCCCCAAATGTTTACAACATGGTGCAGCTTCTTCCTGTCTTCCTCTCCAAAGCTGTGGCCAGGTTGGGGGATGGGTTGAAGGTATCTCATGAACCCTGGTCTAGCCTGGGGCCCTCAGAGATGAGGTGTATGTGATTTGATGCCTGCCTTTAGATACTCACTCCAGGCCAGAGACAGGGACATCAGGCCAGTCAGACTCCAGGGAGCAACAGTGGATCTGTCAATTCTGTTAGACGAGCATAAGACAACTACCCCAATTTCTGAGCCAAATTTGGAGCAAGCCAGGATGATGGACCTGAGATTCCCAGAGAAATGATTATTAATTACATTAGTCTGGTGCTTATAAGGGCGCAACCCACAATACACTTCCCTCCTTCATCCAGTCAGGGGCAAGCATGCATCAGGATGCATTTCCTGCCTACATCCCTTCCACCTACATGTGATCAGACATATCCTGTGTACTTGGGGCAACCAACCTTGTTTACGGGAGTGAAAACACATGGCTTGTTATCTTACACGAACAACAGCCTCCAGCACTCCATGAAGTTATCTGTCCTTGGGTGAGTGGGGCTTACAGGTTGGGGCAATTTTGTTTTAAGTACATCTCTTAAGCATAGTAATTTAAACTTAAAATATAGTTTTATCTCTCATAGGTCTTGGCTCAAGTCTTAGTCCTTCCTTCCTATAAGCCTGTTAGCAGGTAATGGGAACCTAGAGGCTCAGGCTACCTGCTTTGACTTGTAAACTGTTGGCTCGGTGGCTCATAAAGATTGCACGTGGACTGAAGTGGGCAAGACCTGGCTCACTGGAGGAAGCGAGAGGAAGTCAGTGTGGCAGGAAGTGGGAGATGATCCTTCTGGGATGAGGATAAGAGGAGGGAGGAGGTCAGACCACGGGTCTTGGAACTGTGAGAGGGACTTGAGCTGAGCCTCCCTATGCCAGTCTGTTCAGATGCATGCACGCACATGCGCACGTGTGTACACACACACACACCATACACACACGCTCACACACATACACACACGCACACACATGCGTGCACATACACATATACACACATGCGCACATGCACACTCATATATGCACACACACATATGCACATGCACAATACACACGTGTGCATACACACATGCACACACATACACACATGCGTGCACACACATACACACATGCGCACATGCACACACACATATGCACACGCACATATGCACATGCACACATATGCACACATGCGTGCATACACATATGCACACACATACATATACACACATATACACACACATGCACATGTACAGACATACACCATGTGTTTTCCATACTCTCATAGCAAACACCCATCACAGTCACATGCCATATACACTATACCACCCTGCAACATATCCACACCCCATTTCTTGTCATATCATACATATGACATGCATTACACCAAACATGTGCCCCACGTTATACACATACACACACTCCACACATCCACACATGCACAAGCACCATATGGACCACACACAAGTCAGAGCATAACAAATACCGTATCATGATGAATCATATGCATACCACACATGTATACCACATGTATCACATGTAGCATATATGCTACCCACAGTACTAGTGCTACACACAAACAACCCTGCATCTCAGGAATAGCAGGAGCAACGGAAAAACCCAGCTCTCTGCAAGGACCCGGGGACAGTTCTGAAGAGGACAACAGGAGAGCATGGGGCAAGCACTGATTTCCTTTACCAGGAAGATCCTTGGCTGTCCCGGAACTCGCTCTGAAGACCAGGCTGGCCTTGAACTCACGGAGATTCGCGGGCCTCTGCCTCCTGAGTGCTGGGATTAAAGGTGTGCGCAGTGTATTTTTAAAAAGTTTTGACAAGTTCCTATGTTAACATCAGAGATTATCATAATAATTCCCTAGTGACAGAGGCATATTCTCTCCCAGTCACGGAGGCTAAGAACAAGGTAATTCAGAGGCTGGCATCTGCTCTCTTGTCCCTGACTTCCGATAGCCTTCCTTGGATGGTTAGACATACCCCTCAGATCACTGCCTTCATCATCATGTGCTACTCCATCCTGTGTCTCCTTGCTATTCTAGCAAGAGTTCCGTGATCCCAGAGCAATTCATCTTGTAGCCATTAATTAAATCAGCAAAGATGCTATTTCCAAATGACAGCTCTGGAGGGTCTATGCAAGCCATATCAGGCCAAAGGCTTTCTCAACTTCCAGAGAAGGTATTTGAGGAAGAGCCCTGTGACTCTGCTTCAGCTGGCTAACTCTGCACTCACTGTGTCCCACCCAACTAGTAGGAGCAGCAGGGTCCCTGAAGGGTAACATGTACAGGGTCTATTACTGTCAAGAGCTTCATGGCTGTCTGATTTTTTTTTCCTTTTTTTCTACTGCTGTGATTAAACACTATGGTCAAAAGATTTATTTCTTCTTGCAATTCTCAGGTCACAGTCCATCATGGAGAAAATCAGGGCAGGAACTGAAGTCAGGAACCTGGAGGCAGGCACTGAAGGAAGGAACCTAAATGCAGGAATTGGAGCAGAGGCTAGAGAGGGATGCTTCATACTGCTTACTGGCTTGCTCCTCATGGCCGGCTCAGACTGTTTTCTTATATAATCCAGGACCATCTACCTAGGGATGGTATGGTCCACAGTTAGTTGGGCCCTCCCTCATCAATTATGAATCAAAACACCACCCTATAGCTCACCTATGTTAATCTTAGAGAGGCATTTTCTCAATTAAGAGTTTCTCTTCCTGGAGGTGCCTATGTTTGTGTCAGGTTGATCCAAACCAATTAGCACAGGGCTCAAGGAGTGGCTGAGTTCTCTTTTGCTAACTCTCTTGGCTAACTGTGCCCTCTCAGTGACAACGGGGGTTCTTGGTTACAGTTTCCCACATGCCGGAGGACAGCACAGGAAGCAGGATGTGTGAGAACTGATGCTATGTTTTATTTTAATTACTGTGACTAAGAGATCTGTAAAACAATAGTGCCCTAACATGTAAGCCCCTTGCCCAAGGACAGATACTGCCTGCAATGCTGGAGGCTGTTGTTTATGGGGAGATAACAAACTACATGTTTTCACTTCCCTAAACAAGGTTGTTTGACTTAATTATACTGGATGTGCTTGATCACATATAGGTGAGAGTAACATGTAGGAAATATGTCAGGATGTATGCTTGTCCCTGGTTGGATGTAGGGGGGGGGTCACAGGCGGTAAATACATAAGATAAATGCTTGCCTCTGACTGGATCTGATAGGAAATATGGTGGCTTTGTAGTTTTGCCTTTTTAAGCCTCTGTAATGACTTGTGGCTATTTTCTGGAGTGGCCCTAGCCGGAGACCATCATCCTGGCCAGTATTTAATGAAAGCTTGCTTCAAATTAGGCTCAAAAATTGTGACAGTAGTCTTATTTTTGACTGGTGGGATTAATGGATGTCTCAGGAGAATCAATGGAGTTTGTATTCCCTGAAGGGGGCACAGAGTTGAGGCAGGACTTTCCTATTTTAGGGACCCAAAGAAAAAGATGTCAAATGGAAGGCCCTAGCAAAGAGACACCATTGTATCATCTGGGACAGGGCAGTCGCCACCCTACAACTGGCTCCTGTCGTGTGACCAAGTCCACTTTCCTGGAACAGAACTTACTTTTCAAAGAGAACCAATGAACCCTCCAAACTGCTGCATTTACAGATGTACAGGGTTTGCAACATCAACTTCATCGGGCAAAACAGTGACAAAGTTACTATAGCCCTCTCTCCACCTTCTTTGCCTTCAAGGTTTGAGTCTACAGGCTGTCAAAAGGCTGTGTCAGAAGGCTCTATCTGAGGGGTAGACCAGAAGTACCTGTAAGATTATTACCCCTAGAGAGGGTTTTCCTCCTCAGAGGTCCTTTCCTTCTACCATTGTCTAATCTCATCCCTGAGAGTGTCACATGCCATTCTGCACTAAACTTTGTCTTCTTAGTTCTGTGCCTGAGGTCACAAGGACTGAGGACCTGAGGAGGCCACAGTAAATCCAGATAACAACAGTGTAGCTGTGAATGAGGAAGGATGAAGGACCCGCCCCACATCAGCCACCACCTTGTCACACCGACTACTTGCTCCACACCAAGAATCAGGCTGTCTTACCTCAAGACTGTCTGTCCCTAAGCAAGACAGAAGATCCTATACTACCATCTTTTCATACTTGGGGAAACTGA